ATTAGTGGATCCTCTAACCTTGACATTTGTTTTTATCATTTTTTTATCCTCACATCGATCTTCCATCTCAAAGTTCTCATCAACTTCTTCTTCTTCTTCTTCTTCTTCTTTATTATTATTATTATTATTATTATTATTATTACTATTATTATTATTATCACTATTACTACTACTACTATTATTATTATTATTGTTGTTATTATTGTTATATTATTGGTATTTATAATTTACTCATTTACTTTATGATGTTTTTTGTTTTACAAATATGTTTATGTCCTTTTGGCTTTTCAAGTATTCAGTTTGTTCCAACCAATACTCATGTTGTTTTAACTCATTAAATACCAATCTAGCTCCCTTTTGTGATTCATTTCAGATACATATTCATATTCTCTTAACATATATTTTGTCATTTGAACTTTTTGTGTGATTATTTGCCTAGTTTAGTCTAGGGCAATTTGTATTCTTCATCATCACTTTATTTCCTTTTCACATAGACAATGTTGTTATATTTCACATTGTTATTTACTCATTTTCAAAAAGATTTAAGGCTTGCACTTTACCTCAACTTATTACTTTCAAATGTAAATTTTTTTAATTTAATGAAATTTTGACAATATCTCCCTTAAAATGTAAATGATCCTAAGTGTCGATATCAATAATCCATAAACATTCTAAGCAAATCCATGATCCTACCATCCTAGACTTCTACCATTATATTACTAATCATGAATAAAATTAAGCAATAATATAACAAACTATATACTCCGTTATTTTATTTCATTAATCCATAATTAACACTTTAATATAAATAAATCATTTTATTTTATTAGCCAGCTATGTGATTCCTTTTAAGAACTCATTAATAACCTACTAATACAATTGCCCTAATGCCCCCAGCTTCATTATGAGCAAATTAGATAATCAAGTATATTGGCAGTCAATGATAGTGACACCACTAGCTTAACTTTGGAAAACTAGTCAATTAAATATATTGGTCATCAACCTTGTTGATGTCACTAGCCTCTGACCAAGTAGCTAGTAAAATTCAATATGTCAAACATTAACCTCGTTAATGCCACTATCTTAAAACAGGTCAGTTAGTCAAATCAAATATGTTGGTCATTAACCTTGTTAATGTCACTATCCACAAACAAGTTGGCTAGTCAAGTTCAATATATTGGTCATTAACCTTGTTAATGCCACTAACCCTAAACAAGCTAACTAGTTAAATTCAATGTATTGGCCATACACCTTGGTGATGCCATTAACCCCAAACAAGCCAGCTAGTTTAATTCAATATGGCAAAATCATTAACCTTGTTGATTTCACTGGCTCCAAACTTGTCATCTAGTCAAATTAAACACACTAGTCATCAATCTTGTTAATGTCACTAACCCCAAATAGATCGGCTAGTCAAATTAAATATATCCGCCATCAACCTCGTTGATACCACTAACCCTAAACAGGTCAACTAGTTAAATTAAATATTTATTTGGTTAGTTTTGATTTACATAAAGATGTTCATTATTACGATTGATCACAAATCATCTATACACACTAATTTCCGACCTCATATGCATATTTGCATCATAATATTATTATTTTTTTCTATTTGTAGGCATATTCACATCATGTTATTTTTTTCTACTCCTAGGAAATATTCATACAATAATAATATTTCTCTTGTTCATAGAAAATATTCTCATAACAATATTACTCATGCCCGTAAGCAATATTCACATAACAATATTTTTCTTATTTATAAGCAACATTCACACAATAACAATATTTCACTTGATTGTAAGCAATTTTCACATAATAATATTCATCATATCATAAGCAATATTCATGTAACAATATTTTCCCTACCTATAGGCAACATTCACATGATAACAATATTTCACTTGCTTATAAGCAATATTTGTATAATAATATTTATCATACTATAAGCAATACTCATATAACAATATTTATCATTTATATTTATCATACTTGTAGGCAATAGTTTTCTTGATACATAGTAGTACAAAATATATATAATTTATATTGTATTCCAGCATTATAAAAATTTAAACAATTAAATAAGCAAGGGAGAAACCCTTTCCTTGAAATCCTGATATACATATTATTAAGAAGTAAAGACTAACTCCAAACACTTCTTCTATATTTCAATTAAATATTTTGAATCAATATTCAAACATTTCTAGTCTATGAATCACATTTACTGATTCATGTAATCAAAGACTTTCATAAACAGTTCATGAATATACTATTTTTTATTTATCATTTCAATTCATTTACATTAGCATCTTCTTACAATGACATTTAATGTTTGAAAAATATTGTGGATTTTAATAATTTTTTAAAAAAAAACAATTCTTACTATAATCATCGATTCTCTATTTTTCATTAATGATTTTTCAATATGGTTATTGGTTGGATATATTTTAAAATTTATTCATATTTAAAAGAAACCTAAAATTGGTGGTGAATTCATTGTTCACCACTTCACAAAATATTGTGGATTTTAATAATTGTTTTTTAAAAAACAATTCTTACTATAATCATCGATTTTTTGTTTTAATTTTATTCTTCAACATTTCATTAATTTAGGATTGAACTTAATAATTGTTTTCTATCGGATTGTCATGGTGTCAAAAAATATCTCGACATTAGTTTGATGCTCGATTTTGCATGAAAAAATATAATTTTTTTACTTATGAAAAAAATAAAAATTGATGATGGGGTAAAAAAGAGTTTTTTCTTTTTGGGTACTATTCATCCAATGTTTTTTCTAAGAAAATTGCCTATGGAATTTTTCCAATTTCATTTTTAGTCCTTTAGTTTGGATCTTTTATGTTTTGATCAAAAACTTTATTGTGTTCATTTTTCAATCCATGAATTTAAAAGGAGTTGCTGAAAAATAGCAAGGAAGAGAAAAAGGTGATTATTTGTCTAGACTTCATGAGAGAAAAAATTAAATTTAATGTCAATGTACTTTTTTTTATGAGAGAAATGTCGTCGATGTGTTTTTATGTATTATGAAAAAAAGAGGTCAATATGATATTAAAATTACTGTTATATTTTGCCATGATTGAAAATAATATTTTAGATTTTTATTGGAGTGTTAACAAATTTTTTTTATTGTGTACCCAATATGCAATTAAAAAAAAGAAGTAAATGATTGTTCTTGAATATTTAATCAAAATTAAAAAACAATTGATGAAATGTTTACATTGTTTTATCACATTTATTAGTTTTTTTCCCTTCAATCACATACAAAATATTAAGAAATTGTCTTAATTGTTTTAAAACTAGCTTTTAAATCATGATATGTTCTTATACAAAACACAATGCTTACAATAAAATAAAATAAAAAACATATACATGCCTTCATCCAAACAATCAAAAGATGCATTCATAAGAAAATGAACTTTAAGCTGAAATAATATGTTTCTCTTTGATAAGTTTTTTATTGTCTTTCTTGTAAATATTTATTTTTATAATTATTTGATGAAACAAAAATATATTTAAAAAACATGGTTATTAAATTTAATCTTGTGGATTGGATGAGTTAAACCCTATTTAATCCAAATTAATTTAATATATCATTATTTTGATATATTTTTTTATAAAAATAAATCAATGCTTCATTTTAAAAAAAATATATTTCAAATTGAGTTGTAGCTAAATCAGTTGAGTTACCAAATCATACTAAATCAACTTTTATCCTATCTTATTTAACTTAAAACCCAGCCTGAACAGTAACCTGGATGAACAAGTCATCCTCTTGACCTGATAGACTAAGAGTACTTTGCAAAGCAGAGCAGCCTAACACTGCTACTTTTCGTTCAAAAGCATACATAATTAAAGATCTGTTTTGCTTTAGAAGCGAACAACAAATCCCTTGGCCTTGTTTTGAGCCATTTTATGCACTGAAAATTTGAGATGCTTTCGATAGTTGAGGAAGTTTGGCGAATAAAAATGCCATTCAAGCCTAGCTCTAAAATAACACAAATTGAAATTCAATAGTTAAAAATTAAAAGACTACGACTTAATTAGAAAAACAATAAAAAAGAAAAGCTGGGACTTTCAAGAACTGCCATAAATAGACAATCATATGGAAGCAAACCTCCAAAAGTCAAGTCACTTTATGTAAAGAAGCCAACATTTACATTTACCCTGTTAATAAAATCTGTTTTCATTAGTAAATTTGCCTCCTTCCTGGCAGTACACACCAGAATATAACGCAGAAAATCACGAGCATTATACAATCAAGTCTTAAAAAGATGATTTGGCATCCAAGTGTAGAAGACAAGCATGCTACCTATATATATTAACCAACGCAAATCCAACTAGATTACAACCTTCAAAATTCTCCTCCCAATTATTACTTAAGGCATATTTGGTTCCAAATCAATTAGTCATTACCCACGGACAAAGGGCAAGCTAAATTGTCATCAGTCTTTCTTTACTTGGTGGACCTACAAGGTCAAGCACAGTTGTTGAGAACAAGGACGAATACTAGATATTCTGGCTCATTTCAATGGCAAAGTTTTACTTGCTAGTATGACAAAATAAATTAATCAAAAAATACAAGGAATCACCACTGAAAGGAAAAATGTACATGCCAAAATCTCACTTAGTAATATACAAAATGTCCTTTGTTCCATGCATAGAAACAGGAAAGTTGGAAGGAAACCCTATCCGCAAGGAGCATATCTTTTATAACTACCTTTTTTTTATCCCCTTACCATTTCTCACATCCACACAAACCAAAAAAGAAATGGGACAGGAAAGATAATAAGACAGCCTGGACATGCCTAAATAAAATCAGGATCCCTCCCCATTGGTGAAAGGTCTGGATGAATATTGCTCCCAGGCCTTCGTGGGCCTCTGCAAGACAAATAGAGCAGAAAAATTAGATGTCTGGAGCTAATGTCTGAATATAAACCTTGAATACATTCCATATGCATAAGCACACGAAATCTATTTGTAGGCATAAGAAACCAAAAACTTGGGCCACCCATAATGAAGACCAGGCAAATCTAGAATATAAGTTATTTGGGTATGCTTACAAGTTCATACAAAATTATGTGCAACTCCTGATGTTCTATCTCTGCATGTTTTCTTAATATAGACAAATGCCTGGAGCTAATATCTGCTTGTTTTCTTACACAACCAAGAAACTAATTTCGTTCAATTCTTTATTATCTTTATCTATTTATTTATTATTATCACCACATCACATGCAGATTTGACAAAATGCCCCTCCTCCACCACCCCTCCCCATTCATATAAATTCCTCATTCTGGTTTTTGGACAAATGTTCATTCATATGAACAGGTATCGTGCTTACAGAACAGCCACCCTTACAATTCCACTAATTCTTAATACCAAGCTAAGGCTGGATCCAACATTTGGTTTTTTGGTAGAGATGATTTGGACCAGATAGAGTCTATATGAAAATGCCAATATGACTCTTCATACACAAACTAGCGCATGGAGACAACTATGATCCATGAATCAAACTCTTTAAAAGAAGGAAAAGATATGAGTCAAAGTATGCTAAATCCTCAAAAAGAACTACATCATACAATATCAGTGCTTCGGTAAACTTAAAAAGTACAAAGTTTTTGGACAAAAATTCAAAATGAAAGCAGGATCAGTAATTTGGGAACCAAGAGCTTAACATCAAGCTTGCGAGGAAAAGTTCAAAAGAAGATCTTGGCATGCAACAGCTCACCAAGACAACAGAGACACATTACTTTGGTCTGTACCAAACACATTGTAAGCAAGGTCCTTACTGTTCAGAACAACACCAAAACTGGGTTTTTTTTAAACCACACCCAACCACATGACTTAAGAGAAATCCAATTTAACTGAATGGTTTTGATTTACTGCAGTAATTCAGTTTTAATCAAATAATGTTACAGACTGTTTTGTTATTCTTAACAAATATTAAGAAAGTAAATCCCAAATGGGCTTTGGCAGATGTAAAAAAATCAATGTACCTGATAAATCGATTGGGCTCAAAACCAGGTACCCCAGGAGGGCCAAAGGGATCAAAACGAGCACCTGGAGGAACGCCGCTGTGTTCATAAATTCACACACTATTAGTTCTGTTGATGATACCATATTATAGCAAAGTGAAGGAGAGGGAGAGGGAGATCTCACGGTCGTCTCCCAAGTAAACCAGGGTCATCTCCAAATAAACCAGACCAGCTAGGATCATCAGGCCCTGCAAGCACATGGTAAAAATAAGCAATGCCGAAAGAAATGAAACATGCCTGTTTATTGCTTCATTAATTGCAATTAAAAAGTACAAACCTATAAGCATGCCCCCACCTCTGCCAGCCCTGAAAAACAGTTCAACAAAATATATCATTAAAATTGTGAACTAAAATGGTGTGACAAATACCAATTAGTGAATACAAACAGCTAATTTAAGATGCATACCCTGTTGGATACATTCCAGCGCCAGCCCCAGGATACAGATCACTCATTGGATTTACAGGAATTGGAGGAACTACATATCTGAAAAGCAAATCAGAAAACAGAAAGTGAACCTTCATAATAGCGGGGAACTGAATGAAACTGACCGCGCTCCAGCAGGAAACTTGAGCAAACCAATGCATTGCAGGGAATGCAAGTTCTGGAGGGCAGAACATATGTGCATAGTACACACGCAGACAGACTTGTGCATATCCTTTTGAGTTAATTAAAGGCTGGGATTGATTCTTGTAATAACTTGCATGCTAATTTCTGTTCATATCCATTTACTCCTCTTGTTTACAACATTGAAAGAGTG